GTATCAGCCATTGTTATATACTTACCACCATTCAGTTATGTATCAGCCATTGTTATATACTTACTACTATTCACTGCTGTTATGTACTTATCACCATTCAATGCTGCTGTATGCCAGTGATTGTTATATATTTTCCACTATACAGCACTGTCGTAGATTGTTCATTGTTGCTTATTTCCACCATGCATTATGGATAAGTGATTTTTGATTTTTTCAATCATGCAGTGTTATTGTATATTAGTCATTGCTGCATCCTTTTCAGGGTGCAGTGCTATTGTAGATCAATCTTTGTTAGATCCTTTCCACAGTGCAATGCTGTTGTGGATAGGTCATTGTTGGACCTCTTCCATTATGCAGTGCTGTTGTAGGTTAGTAATTGATTTAAAGTATTGTTTGTCATTAATTTCCCAAAACCCATATTTTGGTCATCTCTATTTTTTATGGAAAACAAGCTCACTATCAAGTCTTAATTCTTAGGTTGTGGAATTAATAAACAAAATGTTTTTATTTGCAACTTATAATGAAAAATGAAAAGAGTAACACTTAACATGACTTGTTCCAGTGACATTTAAGAACTGCAACTTTTAATGATGCAATCAGTTTTAAAACAATTTGTCCAATTGGATTACAAAATTAACTTAGAATTGTTTTTATGGCTATAGTGTTTGTATAAGTTGTATATATATCACTAACTATAAAAGGCTTATTCCTTTTTTCACTCTGTTGAGAACGCTTTGATGCTCCTTTTTTGGTAATGCTCAACAATATACATCATTGCTTAGCAACAAAACTACCACCTGATTGTTCTTAGGCCAACTATGGTGCTTATGTTGAATGCTCATTATTCATATTGATTTTTTAGAAAGGTTTGTTTTTTCTTTTTTTTGATATATATATATATATATTGGGTGATATATCAGCAAAATAGTTTAATTCAGAAGTTTTATGACATTGAGTTGTAGCCAAAAGCAAAATATAATTTACCAAGTAATGTTTCAGTTAAGCCTTACGTTACATTTAGGTATTAGGCCTAGTGCTTAAATTAGACTACAAATAAGCCTACTATTACTAGTGTTATAGAATCAATGTTTAAAAAGTTTTAAGTGGTGAATAAATGTTAATTAATAAATATTCTTTTGGTATTTGTACACATATATTGCCTACTTGGCCTTAAAACATAAAGAAAAATAAATGTTTAATACTATCAAATCTTTTATTCTTTGTACAGTCGAAAGAGTTGAGGTAGAATGTCTGCACTATGTTTTCTAATTCCTGACCTAGAATATAGTGAAAAGGCTCAAGAGTGCTGTTTAAGTCTCTTTCAGAGTGTACACATACCTTTGTTCATGATCACAATTCATTTTTCTGCGTAGTTTACTAAAAATGTGGTGGTTAAAGAATTAAATTGAGACTGATGAAATAAGTGAAGAGTAGGAGCATCTTGGAGGTACAGGCAAATTTGTTTTAGTTAAATTCTGTAATTTTCTTTAATCATTCAATAGTGGTTTCTCATCCTTTTTAACAGGCTTTTATACTAGTGACTAATAACTTTAATGAAATATTTTATCTAAATACCTTGTAAAAAATTCACATCTCCTACAGGTAAAGATGGAGGTAAGGTGACCACCGTTTTGGCAACCCCAGGCCAAGGACCTGATAGACCACAAGAAGTAGCTTATACAGACACCAAAGTCATTGGAAATGGATCGTTTGGAGTTGTCTATCAAGCTCGACTTGTAGATACTGGGGAAATGGTTGCAATCAAGAAGGTTTTACAAGATAAAAGATTTAAGGTATTGTGTTTCCTTTCTACATGCCCAAGTGAATGATAACCATGGTTGATATTTCTATTTTAACCCTTTTCCTGCTGATAGGATGTGAATTTCCCATTGCACTACGAAATATATGTCCCAGCCAGTGAATGGGTTGAACATTTGAAATTTTAATCTTTAGGGCTAATTCTACTTCAGAAGGTAAAGGCTTATGAGAAGAGGTAAAAAGGTAACAGATGGGAAGTTAAAAAACATATATACATATTCACCTTTTTCTAAACTTTGTATATTAATGTCATTCGGGTCAGATAAGCTGTTAGTGATGAGTATGTTCTTTCTAGAATATATTTTTGGTAAGTTTCAAATCTCGTGTAATTCAAAGTGCATAAACATGAAGCTTGTAATATAGAAATACATATCACTTTGTTGAAGGATTTTTGATTCTTTACAGAATCGAGAATTGCAGATAATGAGAAGGTTGGACCACTGTAATATTGTAAAACTGAAATACTTCTTCTACTCCAATGGTGAGAGGGTAAGATTATGAACTTCCTTTACTTAGCCTTTAAATCCAAGTGAACATTATGCTTACTGCTAATGTCAGTAATCAGTATACCCTTTCAAGCATCTTTAGTTAAGTATGTATGAAGATCCCTGTGCAGTTATGTTATGAGTGAGATATGTTTAAATTATTTAAATGTTTAATTATAACTTGTTGTGTTATTATTAGGTTGATGTCAAAATAAACAAACCATTAATTTGGACTCCAGTAAACAGTATTATTACTATCTGTATCCCAGAGTAATACTTTATATAACAAACATGGCTTGTTTTATTGGAAACTTACACTTCTTAATTAATATTTGCTTATTATGCTTATGTAAAAATACAAGATTGTCATGTAGTTGTTAATATGTTTTGCAAGTCTTAACATTAATGGAACTGATCTGAGATACCTTTCTGTCTTAATATCTATCATGTCTATATATGTTTACATCTGGCTATTTTTATGTGTATATTTTAGAAGGATGAACTTTACCTCAATTTGGTGTTGGAATTTATTCCTGAGACAGTGTATCGAGTAGCAAGACATTATAGCAAATCCAGGCAGACTATCCCCATATCTTTTATCAAGGTGGGTTCTGCCTCACTTAGATGAAATATTTTATCTATACAGTAACTAACAGCTTAGAAATGAATATAGAAATAAACATTAAACAAAATACACACCACTTAAGGTGTATCTGACATATTTACAGACAAAATCTGTTCTTCATATGGTATCCTGCCTGTAATATAATAATGAAACTTGTTCTTGGTGTAGGTGTTATAACTGTAATATAATGATGAAACTTGTTCTTACTGTAGGTGTTTTACCTGTAATATGATGGTGAAATTTGTTCTTAAAGGCTATAAAAATTATGGATCACTTGAACGATTCTATAGAGAGTAATTTATGTTTAATTTTGTAATTTTTCAAGGAGTGGTGGATAAAATGAAGACAAGATGCCTAGAAAAAATATGTCAAGTGTCATACTAGGGGAAATTCTGGAGTTTTTTTTTAATATTGCCTTGTAGAATTAGGAAGTTAAAACTTGTATACTATTAAAATATGGATTAATATCTAGGATTTTATGCTATATTGATTGGTATAACATAAATAAAAAGTAGTTTAATAAAATTGTGAATGTAAGACACTAAAACCTTCTGTCGTGTAGTAAAGGATACCCGGGGTGAAAGGGTTAATGTAGTGGTGAAAATTGTTCTTGGTTTGGGTGTTATACCTGTAATATAATGGTGAAAATTGTTCTTGGTGTAGGTGTTCTACGTGTAATGTAATGGTGAAACTTGTTCTTGGTGTAGGTGTTATACCTGTAATATAATGGTGAAATTTGTTCTTGATGTAGGTGTTCTACATGTAATATAATGGTGAAAATTGTTCTTGGTGTAGGTGTTCTACGTGTAATATAATGGTGAAAATTGTTCTTGGTATAGGTGTTCTACGTGTAATATAATGGTGAAAATTGTTCTTGCTCTAGGTGTTATACCTGTAATATAATGGTGAAACTTGTTGGTGTAGGTATCCTGCCTGTAATATAATGGTGAAACTTGTTGTTGGTGTAGGTATCCTGCCTGTAATGTGATGGTGAAACTTGTTGTTGGTGTAGATATCCTGCCTGTAATATGATGGTGAAATTTGTTGTTGGTGTAGGTGTTCTACGTGTAATATAATGGTGAAACTTGTTCTTGGTGTAGGTGTTCTACGTGTAATATAATGGTGAAACTTGTTGTTGGTGTAGATATCCTGCCTGTAATATGATGGTGAAATTTGTTGTTGGTGTAGGTGTTCTACGTGTAATATAATGGTGAAACTTGTTCTTGGTGTAGGTGTTCTACGTGTAATATAATGGTGAAACTTGTTCTTGTTGTATATGTCTGCTATCATACAGTAGTTCTTGGTGTATATATCCTATGTGTAAATGTAGTAGTGAAACCAGATCATGGAACTACATGGCAATATAACAGTTTATTTGTGGTCTTTTTTAATCCATGTACTGTAAGCTAGTGAAAAGCCATATTTCATGTTTAAGTTCTGACATATCTTTTATTGAAGGCTAATAACTTTCAAATCTATCTGAACTTTATCTAATGTGCATAACCAGCGATTTGAGCTCCATGTATTAATGTGTGGATACATCATAATTTGTTGTTTTTTTTTACCTCCTTTCAGCTATATATGTATCAGCTGTTTCGCAGCCTAGCCTACATCCATTCCTTAGGGATTTGTCATCGAGATATTAAACCACAAAACCTACTTCTTGATCCAGAATCAGGTGTTCTTAAATTGTGTGATTTTGGAAGGTAAAACACAGTTACAATCCCTAGCATATTATCATCACTGGAACAAAATTTGAGTCTCAAATATAGTCTTAAGGAAACTACAGTGTTATCCTTTCTGTTTGATAATTTTGTAATATCACTTATAGTTAAGTGTGAATATTAGTAGCTTAATAGTACTACATAAAAAAGGTGTAATTACAGGAGTATAGAATTAATTTTTATATGTGATGCTAGTATAAAAGCCCATCAAAAATGACCAGAAAGCAAAGCCTACCAAATTTGAACCCTCCAATAGGCATTTGCAACTTTGCTGCCCCTAAACAGACATAAGAAAAATAAAGGGCCTTCTAGCTTTGAGAAACCAAATCCTATCATGAACAATATCTCCTTTACCAAAATATTGTCTTTTCCCAACATCGATCCTTGTCTAAGCATTCATTGATCACAGTTATTTTCTTATCATATCAATTGCATTATTGAAATAGTTCTCTTAAAACCACATTTCTTGTAAATACTCTATCATCAACACACGTAACACCATGCCTGATCTGGTTCTGGGAACTCCTTCCTTGACAGACTTTTTTATAGCAGAAAAGGTGCCGAATTTTAGGAGCTATTTACACCTACATTAAATTAAACTAAAATGGGAACGGGCAGTCAAAATAGGAAGTACAGAGTGTCCACATTGAAATGAAACAACTTTGAAGCCTTATAACTTTTTATTGAATAAATTTAAGTTGAAACTTGCACAATTATCACATCATGTATCTAAGTTTCTATACTTAAAGTTCTTTTTGTGTTTCAGATTGAATTATGATGACCCCATAAGAAAAGGTGAAATGTGTGTAATGGATGGCTGAATTGAGTCTCCTACCCAGGTTCAACATCTTCCTCCGATGTTCTGGGCTTCCCTCCATCATGCTGCTTTAGAACACTGCCAGTCTCCTCAAATATCTTCATTCATGACTACAGGTCTCTTTGGGTCGATTATTCCTTGTCATAGCATGGGAGTAGGTGACTTCAATTCAGCCATCCATAACACACAAATTTCGCCTTTTCTTGTGGGGTCATCATAATTCAAACTGAAACATTAGATACCAGTTTTTTCTTTGTTTTTTCAGAACACTTGTTTCCAGTGTAGTACATTACCTCTCTCACATATATATCTATTTTCATTCAATGCTGCCCTCTATATGAAAAATATTTGTTTGCATGCCACAACCTTTGCACTCCCATTACTCCATAATTATTATGGTTCCTTTGCCTCTCGCATTCATATTGTAATGCAAAAACCCTCCACCGATAGGAGTGCATCACAACCTCCTGACACATGTGGCTCCCTCTATTCCATTCTACTGAAATATGACATCTCATTTGGCAGTGCTACAGTCAAGACATGTTTTGATTGTTCTCTAGTCACATATTTTTTTTCTTTATTAATATCATACGAAGTGGAAAGATCATTTCTAAATTTTACTATTGTTTTCAATTTTATAATTTTCTGTGCAAACTTACCTCAGTTCTTCTTTTTTTTTTTAGTTGAATAATTTTCAATATTTTATCATTTTATGATGAATACCACTTCAGAAGTTATACCACCTGCTCTTACCACAATCACTCTGGCTTCAAGTTGGGGGAACTCGTTTGATGAATTTTCAACCTTTATTCGTTGGGAGATTGAACACCATCTGAGTAGACTTTCTTCTCCCACTAGTGCTCAGTTTCCTCCTGAACTAACCAAACCTGTTCATGATGATGATTATGCCATGGTTTCCTATGCCTTGCCTGTGGAATCTCGTAGGCCTAATTCAGTCTTTTTAGACACGATTTCTCAGGTATAGTCTGTTTTATCTATTTCCCTGATTTCTTATAATCCACTTCCTTCCTTATTAAATGACACCCCTTACTCTCAGTCATTTGTTTTTCTTTCTCCTCCTGACATTGGGGATTCATGTGAGCAATTTGTTTCTCATAAAGAATCTGATGCTAACATGCCTCACCCTCCACGGGTCATAGATCAGTTTGCCTTGGCTTACCATCAGGCAGATTACCCTCTCTTGATTCCCAAAAGTTACAATCACTACTGCAAGTATGGGGGACTGACACTGACAGTCCTGTCCATTTATCACAGGCCAAGTTTTCCTGCTTTCGTCTTACCCTTCCGACCTTTCTACAGTACTTATCTACCATACACCTCCTTACTGGGGTACTCCACCATTCTCCTGAGGGATTTTCAGGAGATGTCTTCTCCCTCATTACCTCTACTTTGGTGTGATTGTTCTCTTCAGTTCTCTCTCTCTCTCCACACGTGGTTTCTTTGTTGTTGGGACCTTCTGGAGAGGGATATTGTCTTTTCCTAGGTTTGTTTATCATCAACTTACCTTCAGGAATTGTGGATGACTCCATTTCTCCAATGGTTAATTTTTGGGAATATTCCTTCAACTTTGGAATCATGTGCGGAATCTGTGAGGCAGCATTCAACCTTTTCATCATTGGTTGATTGTTTGTCTCAACCTGAGACCTTGAAATCTTCTATTCCACATCTGCCCCCCCTCACATCTTTCCATTAGAGATTCCATCAGTCATCATTTTTTATCGGTACAGGTGACTATCCTGTGGGTGCCCATTTGACTGATTTTGTTCACCTATGACGGGTATTCGTTACTGATCATAGGGTGCTTCAGGTCTTGTCAAAAGGGCTTGTAATCAAATTCCTTTTCCTACCCCCATTGTCTCCCATACCCATATTGTTTCTGTTACCTCCAATTTCTATTACCAGTCATCATCTGTCAGAGGCAGTCCTAATTCTTCTATCACAGAGAGATATCAAGCCTGTCAATCTGTCCTGCCTCAATCACTTTCTGGATCTTTCCCGTTTTACAATGGATTCTTTTATCATACTGTGGTTGGTTTTCTCTCCGGGATTGTGGATGATCAAGGTAGACATCTTGAATGCCTATATATACATTCCTCTTTCTCATCAGTGCAGAAGCTATCTTCAATTTGTCCATCACAGGATTGTGTACCAGTTTTGCATCTTACCCTTCAGTCTAGCTTCGGTTCTGTATGTCTTTTGTAAGAGGATCAAAGCTTTTGCCTGACTTATAAATGCGTGGGAGTGTGCTTACACCACTACCTGGATGAATGGCTTCTGTTAGTTCATTCCGAAATGGAGGCTTCATATCACACTTCTCTCCTTCTTTCAGAAGCTGCTGAAGTGGGTTGGATTATCAAGTTAGAGAAATCTCTTCTATCCCCTACCCAATATCTTGTTCACTTGGGAGTCCTTTTTCAACTCGCACCTTCATCAGGCCCAACCTTCTCTTCAGCTCTATTCGATGGAGTTTTCGTTTATCCACGCACTTGCTGCTCCCTCTCTTACTGCCTGCAAGGTTCTGTTGCTTTTGGGGACTTGGGCTTCTATAGAAGCTCTTATTCCCTTTAATTGGGCACATATGCAGTCAGTGAATTCTGCACAACCAATGGAAACTTTTTTGGGATCCTTTGGATTCTCCTTCCCTCATTGACGATGTGTATTGGTGGTTGAACAAGGCCCACACATTGTTGGGTGTATCGCTTCCTCCTCTTCACCCAGATTTGCATTTTATCACCGATGTTTCCCTACATGTTTGGGGAGCGTGAATTGATCAGCAGGAGGCTTCTGGACTATAGTCTACAACCAAATGGTCTTACCATATCAACACCTTAAACCTTCTGGCAGTATGACAGGCTTTGGATTGCTTTCTTTATCTGGTCAGGAATCGAATTGTCATGATCCACTCGTGCAGTTATACAGTGGTAGCTTATATCAACCATCAAGATGGCATCCGTTCTTGTTCACTTTATGGATTAACTTTGATCTATGCTATTGTATATGTCTTTTGGTTTGTCATGTTCAAGGGTGCTTTCCACATTGTGGCGGATTGTCTTTCCAAACCTGAAAATTTATACCACAGGGTGGTTGGTCCCTTGATCCTCATGTTTTCTGGTGGTTGTGCTCACAGTAGGGTACATCTCATCTGGATGATTTTGCCATCTTTCTCATTACCAAGTTGCTTCTTTTTTGGTCTCCAGTTCCTCATTTACAAGCCTTAGCTATCAATGCATTTAGCCAGGATTGAACAGACCAATTCCTTTATGTTTATCCTCCCATACATCTTCTTTCCAGGATGATTTTGATCATCCATGCCACTCCATGTCTGGTTCTTCTGATTACTCCTTACTGGCTGGCATAACACTGATTTCCTTGATTACAACAACTCCGTACTGTCCCCTCCATTGCCACTTCCTCTCATTCTATCCCTTCTACATTGACCTCGGGTCACCGGTATTTCATCTTGCTCTTCCCGCCCTCCGTTTTTCCCCTTCTCAACCCACCATTCCTCTTATTACCAATTTCCTCAATTAGCTGTTTGATCATAGGCCTTTGGTCTCATCCATTGCTGAATATCAGGCAGCCTTATCACACAGTTTCTGTTTTTTCTGGTATCGTATTGTGTTTACCTACCCTATCCTCTTCATGTTGTTACATTCATAGGCCTTCTCCTCAAGTGGTCCTTCCAGATTGGCATGTCAGTGTAGTTTTTCACTCCCTTACTTTACCTCCATTGGAACCTTTGTCCTCCTGTTCTTTGTTTCCCTTAAGACCTACTTCCTACTCCTTTTAGACTGTGAGAATAGTTAGTCTGATATATTTGCCATCAATGTATCTTTCATTCTGTCCCATACCACATATGTTCTTCTTTATCCAGATTGATTTTCTTTCTCAAAAAAGATAAATCTTCCTTCTTGTTGATTTTGCTTCCTTCAATATCCCATCTTTATTCCCGGTCTGATCCAGATAGGCTTCTGTGTCCTGTACGTGCTCTTCATTGTTACTTTTTCTGTATGGCTTTCTTCTGTGGTTCTCGTTTCCACCTTTTCATCCCCTGGCAACATTCCTCTGTTCATGACCTTTCTCCTTCAACACCCACCCATTGGAGTCAATTTTTGCTTAGATTGGCTAATAGTTCCTTGTCTTCTTCTTCCTGAAATCTGTTCCAGGTGTTGTCACATCAGATCAGAACACCTTACCTTTTCCCTAGCATCTCACCTCCATCATCCATTGGAGGAAATTCTTTAAGCGAGCTTGTGGACTACTACTCATATGTTCATCTCCCACTATTTACATTGAGTGGCTGTTTCCTCCTTGTCGGGATAGTGTCTTCCACATTTCACCATCCTTCAAACTTCCGTAAGCCTGTGAATGGATACTGTCTTCCGCCTTTCACCATCCTTCAAACTTCTGTAAGCCTGTGAATGGGTAAGTTGTCTTTTTATATACTTTCTCTCAGGGGCATGTCCCTTTTTTAATGTTAGGATCCTGCTTTGTGGCAAATGTTGCCTGTCTGGGTATACTTAATGCATCACGAGTCCATACTGTACAGCCAAGATGCTATCATAAAATACTATATTTTCATGGCCAATAACACACACTGTTGGGATGGGGTGTTCCACTAGAATGCTGGTAGGTTTTCCCCTCATGATATATTTACTTCATAAATATGCCTGTTTTGGACCATACTAACCTATGGACTTGCACTGATAAAGCAGAAGAGGATAGCTACTCATCCCTGCCATCACTTAAGTTGAATAACTCAGGGGTGTTCTGCTTTTCAAAATAAGGTGTTCATAGTCACCCATTTGCACTGTTTCTGGTGTTGGCATTCCTCTGGACTCTCCACTGCATTTTATCTTCCCTTAATTTTTAAGTGGAGTATGGAGGTCCTTGCCACTTTCCAGTTCCAAGCTGTTGGGATGTTGGACCATGGAGGTATCCTTCTGAATGTGATCTAACACAAATAAACAACTCTGTTCAGTGAAAGTAAGGTGTGGTGTAGATGATGCTGGTCCTCCATTCATGTGCACCATCTCTGTCCAGTGGGCTCCAAGGGTTGATGTTGCACATGGCTTCTGTAACTATCTTGAGGGTGATGCATTTAGAGGGGCAATCCACTTCCGTTTGGTGGTAACCGGAAGTTAGTGATGCACTCAATGCTGTTCACCCCTACGATTGGGATCACTCATCCAACCATCACATTGGATGTCGGTTCCCAGTGACTGGTTTTGGATTTTGAATAGGACCAATCAACATAAGTCCTCACACATTTGTAGCCTGTTACTACTTTCATTCAGATTTCAGGTTCCAGAAGGTATGGTTATTTGTAATTGTGTATGTGTCCCTTTCGCAGATCAGTTTGCACAGTATATATACTTCCATTTTACGGAACTTGAGGGGAGGACGGTGTGGACTCTCCTTCTAACACAGATTGAAGGTTATATTCCTGATATTGCTTGGTTTTGGACTGAAGGCTGACATGCCCTGGACACTCTACACCTTGGAACACATCCAGTTTCACTTTCTCCCACATTTCTGTCTTAAAAAGATTCATCTTTGGCCTCTTTTCTTTGGGATTGAGAGTATATTCTTATGTGGTTTAGATTCCAATCCAACCATTTTCTCTCCCTTTTGATTGTGCTCCTCCCTTTTTCTTCCTGTGTCTAAGACACCTAATTGTACACTGGGTGAAGAATATATCTGGTACAGAAGTGGTGCAGTCTCCCAAAGATGATTTTTTATTTAGAGGATCATCAGTATAAGGTATTCTTTGGAAGCTTCTTTATATCCCTCACACCAGTCCCTCCACCTGTTTAATGAGGTATTCTAGCTATATATGTGAGAAAAGGTAATGTATCATATCAGAAGTTTTAATTTTCTTGTACTGAAAATATATTCCTGATAATACTTATATCCTCTCACACTTCCCATCCTTTCTTCCCCAATGAAAACTGGTGCTTCCTTTTCTGTTTAAACTCAAAGTGATAGTTTGTAGAATGGAATAGAGGGAGCCACATGCATCAGGAGGTTGTGTCACCCTCCTATTGATGGAGGTTGTTGCATGATGATTTGCATGTGAGATGCAGTGGAACCATAATAATCGTGGGGTAGTGGGAGTGGCATCTGAATAAAAATGTTTGCATTTACAGGGTACCACTGAATGAGAATGGCTATATATATATATATATATATATGTGTGTGTGTGTGTGTGTGTGTGTGTGTGTATGAGAGAGAGAGGAGTTAAGTTCCTATCAGAAATGTATTTTGGTATCAGAAAATTATAACTTAAAAATCTAGTCAAACAGTCCTATGGATTTCTTTTTTCTGTGTAGAACAGTGCTCTTTTTTTCATTGTTTTGTTTACAAGTCTAGTGAAAGAGTCCTTTAGCTTTTTTTTATTGTGTGTGTGTAGAAAACTGGTCACTTTTTATTTAGTTCTATTTAGAAATTGAGTCAAATGTCCCATGAAATTGTTTTTCTCAGCATAACCCTGGTCACTTTTATTTACTCTTTACTTTAGAAAATTAGTCAAACAATCCTGTGAATTTCTTTTCTCTATGTAAAACACTGATCATTTTTATTAGTTGTTCTCTGTAGACATTTAATCTAACAACTATCTTTGTATCAACATAAGAAAACAGCTAATGTAATTACAATCTTAACATTAGCCGAGATTGTTCGACTTCTGTTTTAAAATACTGGAAAGTTCTGGGTGTAATCCTTTAAAAAAGAAATCTTTATTAAGGTGACTGTATTGTATTGACAAATAGTCTGAAGTCAGTGAGTATAGTTACATTAACTTCTGTATTAAGGTGACTATTGTATTGATAAAGTCTCAAGTCAATGAGGGTAGATACATTAACTTCTGTATTAAGGTGACTATTGTATTGACAAAGTCTGAAGTCAGTGAGTATAGTTACATTAACTTCTGTATTAAGGTGACTATTGTATTGACAAAGTCTCAAGTCAATGAGTATAGATACATTAACTTCTGTATTAAGGTGATTATTGTATTGACAAAGTCTGAAGTCAGTGAGTATAGCTACATTAACTTCTGTGTATATATATATTGAGTATTTGTTGTGAATAGTCCGTGTGCAAAGTGATTTTTATGTTAAAATTAAAAATACTTTTCTTCATGTCAAAAATCTCAAATTTCATTTGTGCAATCTGTAAAACCTCCTAAACACATTTCAAATGTTTGTTTTCAGTAAAACTTTATATATTAAGTTATTTTCTCTTCCCTAACTGTATATGCAGTTATTTAATTTGGCAGTTCTTTATTCTAAGTAACTTTAAACTCATAACAGTATACATCTATTTATAGTTAAATTTTATTGTCCTTTGAACCTTGTCTAACTACTATTTACACCATTACAAGCTGTAAATCACTTGGGGAACAGCAGCTCACATTATTTTATAGAATTACATTACCCATGAACTGCTCGCATGCATGCCTCGTGAAATATTTTTATTATACTATTATTATTGTTTATTTTACCTAATCTAACCTTAACTAACCTAAAGAGACCTCTATTTTTACATTTTAGTTACTTTTATAATAATAAATAAAGAATAAACATAAAAACAAGAAATAAAGTACTTATCCAGGTTTTTTGTTGTTTTTTCTGTCCATTGTCGATGATACTTAACCCTTCTATTTTTATAATGATAATAATAGTAATGCACTGAATAATTTTTATTTAATTAAATAATGCACTAAAGAACATAGACTAATAACATTCAAAAAGTAGACAATTTCCCCTAACTCTCAAAATGTTTCTGGCATTCTAACTATGTGACAAGAGCTGTTACAAATTCATCCAAGCTAGTCGTTAACATTCCAACAGGAATAAATCTTGCACTCTGAGTGAAATTGACGATATTCTGTTCAGAACACAATGTTATAAGATACGTCGTTTGATGGATGAAAACCTTAACTTTCTATTGGTTATAGGTCATATATAATTATACGTAAGATAAAAACTATTAACAAATCCTGAAAGAGAGGATGTGGCAGGAGAGGTCTGATTTTCTATTTGATAGCTCTGTAACCAAGCAAAATTGAAGGCCATAAAAATCGTGGTTTGTTTAACCAATGATGAATTTAATGGTGTAATTTACATTTAATTTCATACTTTTTGAAGGGGTGGTGGATAAAATAGAAGAAAGGTGTCACACTAAGGGAAATTCAGGATTTTAAATATTGCCTTATAGAATTAAGAACATAACTTATATATTATTAATATATGGATTATTAGCTAAGATTTTATGCTGGACTAATTGGTATAACATAAAAAGTAATTTAATAAAATTTTGAATGTAAGACACTAAAACTTCATATCATGCACAGTAAAGGATACCTGTGATGATAGGGTTAAAGCAGTACTAATACAACACCCAAGGTCTGTTTTGAATCATGGGTACCATTAAACTAAGATGGGCATTTTGTTTTCCATCCCAAGAAGAAAAATTGTGTTTGTATTTGCATGTGAGTTTGACATTCAGTACCATTTACATTAGGATGAATTGATTCTGTAAGTAAAAATGGTGTGTGAGCAGATATATGCTGTAATTCAAGTTGGTTTTGCTTCAAGATTGGTATGTCTAAGAAAACTTGAATTCCTTCTGTTTTTACAAAGCTCTTCTTTAATTAACCAGTTTTGTAAAATCACAAGCTACTCTTCAGTATTGAAATGCACACATATATACACTGCTTGTATATTATTAATTTCAGTACTATTTATATTTGGATAAACAAATTCTGTAAATAAGCATGGTGTACATGTATGTGTACACACACAAATACAACATAAGTACATTGTTTGTCATAGTATGAACATACTATTTACATTAGGATGAACAAATTCTTTGTGTAAAAGTGATGTATGTGTGTATACATATGGGAAGTGCACTTTTTACTCATTTAGATACATTTTCATCATTTCAGTGCTAAGCACCTGATTAGAGGTGAACCAAATGTGTCGTACATCTGCTCACGTTATTACAGAGCACCAGAACTGATATTTGGTGCCACTGACTACACAACTATGATTGGTAAGAACCTGTTAAATTTTTTACACATACTGTTACAATTTGTTTAGGCTTCATAAATCGTGAAAAAGCTTGTGTACTAGAAAAAGTTACATTTTTCATATTTTTCTTTTTTTTAGTGCATGAATAATTAATGTAAAAAAAGTTAGCTAGAATATGTTTGTTTTAGTGTATTGTGTTTTCTAGACATCTGGTCAGCAGGCTGTGTGCTTGCTGAATTACTTCTTGGTCAGCCTATATTTCCTGGTGACAGTGGGGTGGACCAGTTGGTAGAGATCATCAAGGTTCTTGGCACTCCCAGTAAGGAGCAGATACGGGAAATGAACCGGAACTACACAGAGTTTAAGTTCCCCCAGATTAAGGCCCATCCCTGGCAAAAGGTAGATTCCATTTCTGGATGAAACTATGTGTTTTATCATAACACATGTTTATTCATTTTAGTTTTCTGAAATGAAAATCTTAACCAGTTCTTTGAGCTGCATAACATTTAATTGAACTTACCCCATTTTGCAATTCGTGAGTCTCATGCAACACATACACACACAATCAGTCTGTTAATGTCAAACAGTTCTCCCCCATCCTGTAATACACAAATATCATGCAAAATATACACACGGTCAGTCTGTCTAATGTCTAACAGTTCTAACCCATCCTGTAATACACAAGTATCATGAAACACACACACACAGTCAACTAGTTTGTCTAATGTCAAACAATTTTCCCTATCCTGTAGTCTGCAAGCCTCATACAAAACACACACACAGTCAACTAATCTGTCCAATGTCAAACAGTTCTAACCCATCCTGTAATACACAAGTATCATGAAACACACACACAGTCAACCAGTTTGTCTAATGTCAAACAGTTCTCCATTATGTAGTCCACAAGCAACATGCAACACACACATAATCAAACAGCTTGCCTAATGTCCAACACCAAACTTACAAATGAGAGTGAGTACCATTAATCATTGGTTTTTATTCTTCTTCCCACCACTTTATTTCATTCGTGTAAGAATAAATAATCTGTAGGTATTAGTATTCTGCTTTCAAAGTCTTAGTAACATTGACATGGGAAAAGATACAGATTTTTGAAAGATACATGTAGATGAAATAACACTATTTTAGGACAAATATACTGAGCTGGAGTAATAACTGTTTAGTTGAAACCAAACTAACAGTAAACATTTGTGTGTGTAGTATAATTGAACATTTATATTTGTTAATACTGCAAGATGCATTAATTAATTTATACTTTTACTTGAATTATCTTATAATTATATAAAAAATCTAGCTAAATAAATCTTAAGTAATCTAAGCCACCATTTGTAATAGCTCAGCAGAGATTGGTATTCTTTCTCTGAACTAATTTTCTTATCCATGATATCTAACTTTGGCTGTTCCAAGCTAAACACTCTTCCATATTTTTGTTTAAAAATTCAGTCATGTAACACTTTTGAAAACAATAACATCTCACTCCTCTCTTTTTATGATCTGATGTATACGAGTTCTTTCTAGCAGGGGCATGGAAAATATTTCTTCTTTTAAACCACAGAATGTATGTTTCTCTTAGCTTATCTGATATATATTTCTACTGTTACCATATTTTTGAAGCCAGCTTTAATTGAAGTATGTGTACAAAGGGGTGCATTTTTTCTTTAGGCTTAATTTTAGACAGTTGGCATAGAGGGCTTACAATGATTTCTGCTACTTTATTCTGGCTCTCCTTATTTTCACAGAAATTTCATTCATATCAGGCTTACTAGGAAATTGAACTATTTACATATTTATAAGTGTTTTATTACCTTTTGAATTTCCCACATGGTCTTTTTTTTCTTTTCAGCAGGTTGAATTCTTAGTCATATGGCACATTACAACACCCAATAAAAGTGTATTCAGTTTTACTTTTGATTGTATAAAAAATATGTTGTGAGCATGTTTTAAATTAACAAAAATATGTTTGAAGAGCTCTAAGTGATATACAGAAATGAATCTGGAACATAGTCATGTTCCCATATTGAGTGCCTAAAGTGTAAGACAACATATTTTATTCAGCAAGAAATGTTATATGAGGAAAAAGAGTTATTTATTGAGTGAGTTAGACTATCAACATCATTGACATGAAACCTATTCTATTAGAGTGACATTTTGACCTCCCTACCATGACTGTTTTTGGACTTAAAATGAATGTTAAATAACTTACATTTATCTAACACATTGTATATTCCATGATTACATTTCTAACAAGAGTAATGTCAGTACAGACACTTTCATGATGTCAGTAAAACACGTAGGTTCAAGAAGTCTTGATACAAAACCCTATAACCCAAGCACTTTCAAAAGGTGGACCTTTCTTATTCATGAGCAAACTGGGAATGGTGGTGTAATCATATGAGTGATATATATGATGTCATGAAGGTCGTCCGGTTTTCTAGAAAATGTTTAGTATATTTTTCCAAGTACTGCTGTAACTGTATTCCATTTCCGGTACAGTGTGGCTGGCGATGAGAGAGTTATGTAAAAAGGTCTTAGGGATATTTTGCCTTAGAAATGGTTAAAAAAGGAAATAAATAAAACTATACTTAAGTATTTAAGTGAAATAAAGGTGACACCTGGAGACTGATTGAAAAAAAAAATGTTAAGCTAATTGATTTGTACAAACAGGTATGGAAAATTATTCTTAATAGATAGTAAGTTTTAGAAAAATTAGGATTCAAACTACATGAAAGAAATAAACAAAGAATAAAAAGTATTTTTCTGAAACAGATGAAACCAAAGATCACTGATTCCAGGATCTAGATTGATTTCAAAAGGTTGAACAGTGTTAAGATTAGCAATCCAGTAAGCTTCTTTTATATCTCTATTATTGAATCCTGTCTCAGTGCCAATGAAAGTAACATTGTTAATGGAATGACTAGGTTGGTTAAAGTGTTGAGCAACAGAGAGATTTTTTTGGTGTTAATAGAAGATTTATGGTTGTTGAAACATTCTCTAAGTGTTGTTTGTGTATGTACTACATATTGGTGATTGCATTTTTTACACTGTATGAGGTAAATGGTGTTTTGTGTTCCACAAGTGATTGCTTTGAATATTTTAAAGTTTCTCTGGTTGTGTTTGTCAGAAAATGAGCCAGTAGTTTTTATGAACTTGCAGGTTTCACAGCGAGCTTTATTGCATGGATGACAACCATTTTTTGGTGAGATTTTTGTTTATTTTTTTAATTTATTTATTTGATAGTTTTACTTTTGATCAGATGATGGGACAGCTGAGATGGGCCAATAGATCCCTGGTTACCCCTGAACATTATGTTATGTTATATATTATACATAATGTGCTTGCATTTGTCTGTCCAGAACTTTTCTCAAAAACTTTCTTGATTAGACGCTACAAATCTCGTATTGTCAGAAAGGCCTTTGTCCGAGGAGTCCGGATTGCATATTGGCTTTTCCATTTATAATCACCTTACATGTTGTTTGCTTTTTCAAACTTTTTAATGCAGCGAGGCTTTAAATATTCAATGGTTATCATGCTCTATGTTTGAAGTTTCTGTGTTTCAGACATTGTTTCATTTATGAGTTACTAATTCTTATGAAGGCAAATGCAAAAGTGGCCAGTATAATTCTACCAGGCTGAAAAAACTAATAAAATACATTTTGTAACCACATCACTTCTAATAAAAATGACTCCATTAATTTTCAGGTGTTTCGTGCCCGAACACCTCCTGAAGCCATTGACCTAGTTGCAAAACTACTGGAATACACTCCTTCTACACGTATCACCCCTCTACAGGCATGTGGTCACACCTTTTTTGATGAACTTCGTGAACCAGGGACAAAGTTACCAAGTGGTCGAGAATTACCATCTCTCTTCAACTTTACAGAGAGTGGTAAGTCTTTAATACCAGTAAAATTGCTCTATTACTCGTGTGGTAAAATTTATAACATTATGTATATAGGAATTTATAGTTTCTTTCATTTCTGACAAAGAATCAGTATATTTTGAAAATGTTACTTTTATAAATCACTGAAGAGTGTACAGTGATTTATTTGGATAAAAAGAAAGTTTTGGATGTTTTATAGTTTATTCTCTTTTCTTTGAATAAGTAGTAGATGAATATATTAATGAGCAGTTACTACATTTTTGAAGTAGATGATTAAAAATGTTCCTGAGTAACTTAGTTTTTTCCTTTTTTGTTGTATAGTTTAAGTTTAAAATATGTTAGAGATTGTTTTTGGAAAAATATCCATCATTCACTCAAGGTATGTTTCTGATACTATATTTATTTTGAGATGTGAGCTCATTACAAAATTTCTTTTCAGAATTGCGAATCCAGCCATCACTGAACTCCATTCTTCTTCCCCCCCATACGCGAAACAGTATTGGAAATCCTCAAAGCCCTGCTACATCAGGCAACCCAGGAGGGAATTCCGAGGATTCTGGTAACAATGGAAACCCTAATCACGCAGGCTCAGGAACTGGAGAGATTGTCGACACTGTTGCTGTAGCAGGATCAAGCACTGAGGTTTCTTCATCTACCCAAGACTCGGCTACAGCGTGACCTTAACCCTCTAGAAATGCTTGACTAGACTAACTGGCAGCTAAGCATAACAGGTGTACAGAGGGGTTAGTGTTATGGATTAAAAAAAAACATTTTGAACTTGTAGTTGTAACAAGATAATAATGGACTTCCCAGTGCAGCAGATTACCTACACCTTAGACCAGTCCAGCCATTTATGGCTTGTATTTTTTTCCTTGTTCAGAATTCCCATAAGGATTAGAAAATAAAGATTGATATTGCAAATAACAATATGAAATGCCTGTACATATGCTAGATTACTTTGCCATTGTGTTGTAGAAGCCCTTCCATTAGTTTATATCGCTGAAGTAAGGAGCATCATTTGTTTTCACCCCTTTTAAAACAGTGTAACGTAGAAAGCATTATTTTTCATTTCTTTTTAATAACCTGTCAGTTGAAAATTCTTGCTGTGAACCCCTCCATTACCAGATTTTGAACTGTACATGTAACTAGAAATGTTGTTCTTCAAAGTAGGCAGATATTTGTAATGATTGAGAAAGACTTAGAGAAAAATATCAAGCTTAGGAAGCTAGGATAGAGCACCTTAAAGGTTATGTGTTGGGGGGAGAAACATAAAGTCCAGAATCATTCATTTTGTGTCTGTTTTAATCCATTGTGGTTGTTATCAAAAAGTCCAAGGGGTGCCAAATGATAATAACATCAACACCATGACAGTTTAGTATTATTTCTGGAAACACAACATTGGTTTTCCAGTTTAAAGTCAGGGATTGCCTCTATGTCTGTTGTGTGAATGTATATTGTTAGTAATCTATAGTTGGCACTTGTAGTTCTGTTATCCCAACAATGGAACGGGTGTATCAGTAAAGAGTTTTAAACCCTTGTATATGTATATATATATATATATATAATTATAAATATATATATTAAATTTGTAAGTGATGCCTGTTACAATGTTTGTTTTCCAGTTTGTTAGTGTACCATATTAGAAACTCTCCTTAGAGAAAGAAATATTTAATGTGAAAATAAAAAATCCTCTTTTCTCAATTCTTTAAAGATACTCTATTGTAAAATTAGACCAACTAAAATTGTGAACAGCATGGCATGAGATTGTTGTAAAAAAAAAGGACAAGAATGAAGTACATCATTACAGCCTATCATACAAAAAAAGTCTAATTGTGTTTTAGTTTCTGCAAGCATTTTCAATTTTCCTTTTGTTTATTGATGTAAATTTAAATTACCAGCCTATTATTCTACATTTAAATTTTTGTGATAATAGGTAATACCTATTTTTCTATTACTAGTGTATTTGTGTCGCTTAGCTATGCAGTGTGGATTACTTTGCTGTTTATAGATATTAAAGACAATCTTAGCTACCACTCAGTTTCTAGGTACTAAGTAGCACCAACTACTGGTGCTATGTCTTTAGTTCTCACATTCACTAACACTTATTGATCTTACATCTACTTAAGGTAGACATTAATAGTCATTAATGTTATGTCTACATAAGACAAGTAGTACTGGTTACTGATGCTGTTTCCACATAGACAGACATTAATAATCACAAATGTTATGTCTACATAAGACAGACAGTACTGGTGAGTAATGTTATGTCTATTTAAGACAAGTAGTACTGGTTACTGATGCTGTGTCCCCATAAGACAGACAGTACTGGTTAATAATGTTATGTCCAAATAAGACAACTAGTACTGGTTACTCATGCTGTGTCCACATAAGAAAAACAGTATTGGTTACTAATGTTATGTCCAAATAAGACAGACAGTACTGGTTAATAATGTTATGTCCACATAAGACAGTCATTAATAATCAGTAATGTTATATCTACATAAGACTGACAGTACTGGTTATTAAGGCTATGTCTAAATAAAACAGATAGTACTGGTTACTAATGTTATGTCTACATATGACAGATGGTACTGGTTACTACAGCTGTGTCTACATAAGACAGACAGTACTGGTTACTAATGCTGTGTCCACACAAGACAGTCATTAATAATCAGTAATGTTATGTCTACATAAGACAGACAGTACTGGTTACTAATGCTATGACTACATAAGACAAGTAGTACTGGTTACTGATGCTGTGTCCACATAAGACAGTCATTAATAATCAGTAATGTTATGTCTACATAAGACAGACAGTACTGGTTACTAATGCTATGTCTGCATAAGACAAGTAGTACTGGTTACTAATGTTATATCTACATAAGACAGACAGTACTGGTTACTGATGCTGTCCACATAAGACAAACAGTACCAGTTACTAATGCTGTGTCCACATAAGACAGACAGTATTGATTACTAATGCTGTGTCCACATAAGACAGACAGTACTGGTTACTAATGCTGTGTCCACATAAGGCAGATGGTACTGGTTACTACCGTTATGTCCACATAAGACAGACAGTATTGATTACTAATGCTGTGTCCACATAAGACAGATAGTACTGGTTACTAATGCTGTGTCCACATAAGGCAGACAGTACTGGTTAGTAATGCTGTGTCCACATAAGACAGACAGTATTGATTACTAATGCTGTATCCATATAAGCAGACAGTACTGGTTACTAATGCTGTGTCCACATAAGACAGACAGTATTGATTACTAATGCTGTGTCCAAATAAGACAGACAGTACTGGTTACTAATGCTATGTCCCCATAAGACAGACAGTACTGGTTACTGATGCTATGTCCACATAAGACAGACAGGTACTGGTTACTACCAGTACTGTCTGTTTTATGTGGACATAACATTAGTAACCAGTACTGTCTGTCTTATGTGGACATAACATTATTAACCAGTACCATCTGTCTTATGTAGACATAACGGTAGTAACCAGTACCATCTGCCTTATGTGGACACAGCATTAGTAACCAGTGCTGTCTGTCTTATGTAGACATAACGGTAGTAACCAGTACTGTCTGCCTTATGTGGACACAGCATTAGTCCCCAGTACCATCTGCCTTATTTGGACACAGCATTAGTAACCAGTACTGTCTGTCTTATGTGGACACAGCATTAGTAACCAGTACTGTCTGTCTTATGTGGACACAGCATTAGTAACCAGTACTGTCTGTCTTATGTGGACACAGCATTAGTAACCAGTGCTGTCTGTCTTATGTAGACATAATGGTTACTAATGTTATGTCCACATAAGACAAACAGTACTGGTTAATAATGTTATGTCCACATAAGACAGACAGTACTGGTTACTAATGTTATGTCCACATAAGACAGACAGTACTGGTTACTAATGTTATGTCCACATAACACAGACAGTACTGGTTACTAATGTTATGTCCACATAAGACAAGTAGTACTTGTTACTAATGTTATGTCTACATAAGACAAGTAGTACTTGTTACTACCGTTATGTCTACATAAGGCAGATGGTACTGGTTACTACCGTTATGTCTACACAAGCCACACAGTACTGGTTACTACTGTTATGTCCACATAAGACAGACAGTACTAGTTACTAATGTTATGTCCACATAAGACAGAAAGTACTGGTTACTAATGTTATGTCCACATAAGACAAGTAGTACTTGTTACTAATGTTATGTCTACATAAGACGAGTAGTACTTGTTACTACCGTTATGTCTACATAAGGCAGATGGTACTGGTTACTACCGTTATGTCTACACAAGCCACACAGTACTGGTTACTACTGTTATGTCTACACAAGGCACACAGTACTGGTTACTACTGTTATGTCTACACATGGCACACAGTACTGGTTACTACTGTTATATTAGTGTCTTATTCTTAGCTCATTACATGTTCTATATAACCAAGCTCACCATTTTTTGTATAGCAGACAGTATTACATTGTAAAAACATTTTTCTGTCCACATTTAAAGTGTTCTTTGCATTAGCTTTAATATTTTGGTATTGAAAGTTTGATTATTTGTTTTTACAAGTGTATGTGTGTGTTCAGTAAAATGTTCACCTGTATAACACTTGAAGCCAATGCAACCAGCCAGCCAGCAATTGCTTTTGTATCAGACTTAGCCAAAATCATTTTATATTCATTAAATTATTTTGTAATTGTGTTAAAACATTTCTATTTACATGCCAATATAAAAAGGTAAAATATTTATACTTTTAAATGGTAAATAAATAAAAGTTTTCAAAACCTCACCCTGGAACTAGAAGTAATATGTGAAGTTTAGAAACTTGGTTAACAAAATATTATTAAAAATGCATTTTAGTTCTCGGCTTCAGATTTCTTGATTTATAATATGTACAGAATTGAGTATATGTAAAAAAAAAAGACTTTTGTAACATTAACCTCAGCTATTTTATAGAATTTGAACTGAGTGTTAAACTACAGCTAATAACACATGCTGTAAGAAATATTTTCTGTCTGTTGTTCAGTAAAGATAATTAATTTTAAAGTAGTAATACTAACTACAACATATTGTAACTACAAGAGCTTCTTTATGGCAGTACGTTTTGTAATGTGATCACAGGTCAAAATGCCAAAGAGAACTGTGAATTATGTGTTACACGTTTGAGAGAACCCTGAAGAATGTGTGAAACTAGTGGTTATGTAGTTGTAGGTGAAGAATTTTGGCTAACGTGTGGCTTATGTTTTACAGGTGGTAATTTGATAGAGAATTTATGTTTAGCATACAATTTGTGGTTACAGTTCTGAATGTTGGAGAGAGCCCTGATGATGAATGGAATCATGAGTAATTTTATGACTTTTGGTTAAACATCCTGATTAATTTGTACTAAATTTGAACTTCTCTAAGCCATCTTTATAACAATTGCAAAACATATCTTATAAAAATTGTCTAAATAGTAGTTCAAATTATGGCAGTAGACAGTACAGAAAAGAACATTTCTCAAAGCTTTGTCATGTATACAGAAAAGCTTCAGTAAAGGTTTAGTATCAGTAACATAAACAAAAGTAGATATGGAATAATTAAGTTTTTGTATGAATTTTGGAATTTAAGTAATCTTCTACACAAGGAATATGTATACATTCCTTTATTAATAGTTTTAATGAAGTGTAATTTGTAGTTATTTTGATTTTTAATTTTTGTTATTGATCTGAGAGAGGGTCTTGAAATCATCTGCCACCATTACATCAAAATGGAAGTTTTGTGTTACTTGATTTCATTCTTTTTCAAGTAGAGGTTTCTTTTATTACGGCAGTTTTTAGTACGTCACTTGTGTTTTTTATATCCAGATTTAAAACTCAAGTACGCTTATATTCAAAAATGTTTAATCATCACAAAAGTTAATGAATCTGGTTGTAAATTATGGGGCTTCTTCTCTAGTAATTAGATACTTTCCCCTTATCATGCAAGATAGTACAGTATTTTGGTTATTTGTTAGTTGCTCTGATGGACAACATCAAGACAATGATAAATTGGAATTTAATTATTCAAGTTTGTTTAGTTAGAAAATAAATTTAAACTTACTATTCAGGAAACTTTAAAAGTGTTTTGTGAAAATGTAATACTTGAAAAGAGATTGTACTGTACTTATAATTAGTTTGGCAAGAAGATATGTGATATAATTGTTGAATATGATGTTAGATGTGGATTAGAAGTTTTAGTGAGAGTTGACTTTTGCACAATGCTCTTTCATTCAGTTGCAGGTTGTGCCATTAGTTTTTTTATTTGTATTATAAATGTTTTTAAAAAAGATTTCATCTGTTCACTTGTTTAAGTTATGAGGAAATGGTTGGACAAGTCAAGGATGGGGAGCACGAATAAGGAAAATGAGAATATAACTTAAAGCCATAGTATTTGGATAAGTAGCACTTTCTGAACTATATCTGAGTATTGAGATTATCAAATTATATATATATAGCACACAAGTTATGAAACAGGTGAGCTTACTTATTCAAGGATTATAGTGGTATATGGGATTTTTAGTTTAGAAACTTGATAATACATGTTTTAGCACCTTTGTCTCTCTATATGAACCACCAACTTTGACACAGAATTTTCCAAAACTTTCCTCTATAGTACAAAAAAGTGTATTTCTGACCAGTGCTTGAGAATATAAGTGTCTCTTGTAATATTCAACCTTGAAGTCTTTATGTGTTTTATAATTTACAGATTCCAAAGCATTTAAATATATCATAAACAAGTAATAATTTCTCAAAATAATGCCTTTTCTTTTAAAAGGATTGAGTTCAGTATGGCTTTTTTAGTTCAATACTCATGAAAGTTTTTAACCAATGTAATACAGTTTTTAATTTCAGTTTACAAGGTATTTCTAGACACTGTTATTCAAGATTAGTAAAAAAATTACTTTGTCATCTGAAAGGAAGTGTACTATCAACAAAAGTTAATATGTTTTGTAGGTAACTAACAAGAATTGGACATTAAGCATTTAATCAGGACTGACCTGATGATCCTTTCTTGTTTAATATGTGATGTAGAACCTTGTATTCAATCAACACTGGTGTGTATTAAATTTATTGTATGTAAAAAGTGTACAATTTTTTTTGGAAACAATTGAATACTACAGATTGGCCACATTATGAGACTCCCCACATTAAAACTCTCCATTTATTTGTATGTGCTATGGCCACATTATGAAACTCCCTACACTATAATTCTCCATTTATTTGTATGTGCCATGGCTACATTATGAAACTCCCTACACTATAATTCTCCATTTATTTGTATGTGCCATGGCTACATTTTGAAACTCCCCACACTATAACTCTTCATTTATTTACGAGACTCCCCATGCTATAACTCTCCATTTATTTGTATGTGCCATGGCCACATTATAAGATTCCCCACACTATAACTCTCCATTTATTTGTATGTGCTATGGCCACATTATGGGACTCCCTACACTATAACTCTCCATTTATTTGTATGTACTATGGCCACATTATGAGATTTCCCACACTATAACTCTCCATTTATTTGTATGTACTATGGCCACATTATGAGATTTCCCACACTATAACTCTCCATTTATTTGTATGTACTATGGCCACATTATGAGATTCCCCACACTATAACTCTCCATTTATTTGTATGTGCTAAAATTGCTGATAATATTTTTTGTTAGGCGATTGCTTGAGTCATGTAAATTCATATACGTGTAAGTTTTCTAGACATTTTGTAAAAACACGCATCTCTCAGACTTTCAGAAAGGGGCATAGTAATGGGTACACTTAAAAGAAATATCACTATTCATATTTATTTCTTTGACCAGCTGTTAAAAGATATTTATCATCAAAATCTGTCAACACTGGTAATCCTAACATTAAATACGGTACCGTACAAAAGTTTGAGCCATTTGAATGTTTTTGTGTACTTCATAGGTTTATTGGAACTTGTAGGAAAAAATGTATTGAATGTAATGTGCTTTTTATTCAATTGTAAAGTAACTAATCAAACTATGGCTATAAATTATTTATTATATCGTGTTTCCTCAGTTGTAAAGAAACTAATTAAACTATGGCCATAAATTATCTATCCTGTTTCCTCAATTGTAAAGTAACTAATCAAACTGTGGCTATAAATTATTTATTATATCGTGTTTCCTCAATTGTAA